AGCCTCTTCTTTTCGGGCGAAAGGCCACCCAAACCCTTCCGTTTTTGACCAGGTTTGCGTTGCTTCTTGGCAGCTTCTTCAGCCTCGCGTTTGGCCTTCTCCTAAACGGAAAAAAGCCAAATCAAACCGAGAGTGAAACAGCACTCGCGTCAACCACTTCCTGTCTTGGTCATTCGCCTAGGTTAAAGTGACGACATGCGCAATGCCGGGTGTTAGGTAAGAAGGTGTTAATTTCTTCGAAGGACTGGCAAGGCTTCTACCCAAGAAACTACCCTGGAACCTGAAGGAACGCGATCGCATGGAGAGGTAAGGAGCAACGGGTTGTATGTATTAAAAGCAGTTGCTATGCAGCCAGTGCATCGGTGCTGTTTCAACTTCTCTGTGCTTCATCATGCGTGTGTGTGCGTGTGTGCGCGCGCGAGACCTCGCCAAGCCGAGGTCAGGTGTGTGTGCAACCCTTCTGGCAAAAAGCACTACCTCTTGTTTCCTCTGTCGTTCTGCCGCGGCCTAGATTGCAGACAAAAGTTCGTCAGATGTTGTCTCTCGATCCTTGGCTGACCACGTTCTACGCACTTGCAGTCAAGGCATTCAGCGTGCTGTGCGTAAGCATGCCAGTTGTTAGTTCGTGCAGTATAAACGCGAGCGTTCAACAAACCCCAAGGCCAGCTGATTGTGTTCCAGGTCGCCTCAAGTACCTGTGCACTGAACTGTGGATGTGTGCGTGTGTGTGTGTGCGTGCGTGAGTTTGTTTAAATCGACTGCGATTTGAGTCATGCTTGTCGTAGTAACATGGCGCGCAGGTTTTTGCCAGGCCTGCGTGTGTTTGTGGGTGAGAAGGTTATCTGCAGGCGGAGGAGGTTGCGGCAGCTCGGGTTGTGTGCGTAAGTGGTAGAGGTCATAGGTCAAAGGTCAAAGCTGGCAGCGCGCGCGCAGTCGAGTGCGTCAGTGTAGAATTCATTCCGCGCGCAGCCAAAACCAGTGCGCTGTGTGTTACCTAGCAAACTGGTGCTCAGATTTTCAATTACAACATGGATTTTATGTGGTGGTGGTGGGGAATAATGAATGAAGCAAGCCATGCACGCATGCACCAACCTCTTCTCGCCTTGCCTCTTCTTCGCGTTTTCGACGGAGCTCCTTCAAAAATCAATATTTTGAGCATTGGAGTGGGAGAAAATCGATATTTTGCGTAGTGAAGTTGCACACATACCTCTTCTTTTTGTTTCTGGGTCTCATCCTACAACAAGAACCGAATGAAACATTAGAAATTTGAGCTGGTAAGTGCCCAAAGCTGGCGCCATGTCAGTACCCCATGCCTCAAACAACAGAGCAACCCCAGAACAGGCCAATTCGATTCAAACAAGAGAAACAGATCTATTGACGAGGGGACAGTGGTCGTAGATTCGACTGAACGTCATGCTCCACAAGGAAATCTGTCTTCTAGATCAACGATTCGCATGTCAGTTGCTAGAACGAGGGAATACTGTCGCCACTTGAGACAGAAGATCAGGTATCGATTTCAACCTCTAATTTGGGTCAGTCTGGAAATTTGTATGGCTGTGGTTTTGGCAGGCTGGGACACAAGATCAAAATGCACGAAGTAACACACAACGAAAAACCACAAGTTCCGTGGAGTAACCAGATCAAAACACACAGACAGACAACAGACACGAACGGGTTACGATCCTCATTAACACACAGCTCCAGCGATTTACCTCAGATTCGGTCTGAAATGTTTTCAAAATCAATTTTAATAAGACAGGAAAATCGTTGGTGCTAGCATGCTATCAATTGGTGAACATCGATTGGCGTGCGGTTTTTGGAAGGCTGTTTCACAAAGGTACACAACAACGGCTGCGCAAGCTGCATTTCGTACGGGAACTCAAAAAAGTGCCAAAACACTACAAAAGCACACCACACAGATTAGCTTTCACACACAAACAACAATTCAAACTCGACTTTTAAACGCAAACATTGTCGGTTGTTACCTCAGAAACTTCTTCCTGCAGAGAGATTGTCAAAAAATGTCACGGTTAGAAATGACTTGGTGTAAAAAAATTGACGGAAATGGCAAGCACACACATTCACAGGCTAGGAAACACCGTAGATGCAAAATAATGCATGCAGTGAACAAAATTAACCACAAAGAAAACAAACACTGCATCTTCACCTCAGATTCAGATGCCTACAAGTTGGAAAAGTTTGGGTTTATATTGTTAACTCACAAAGAGTCATTAAGATTATGTTATTCTGCTTTGAATGTGAATGATTCAAATCGCCTAAATATTGGTCTCTTTTTTTTAAAAATTTACATCCGATTTACTTCTGTTTAAAAAAACCTTTGCAAAAATATACATTAAAACTTTTAGAGAATATGCAAATGTTTTAACTCACTGATTCACTAAAACAAAAAAATGGAGGATTTTTTTTAAATTGTGTAAAGCATCTTGGCAGATGAAAAAAAACTAACATTGGGTATATCAACGTAGTGCTTATTAAATAGAAAAATGTAAATGCCTGTATAATGTTTTTAATTGGATAATTTCTGGCGCGGTCTTCAAAATCAGCACAAATTGACCGTGCAGATCAAATTACTTTGACTAATTTTACTTAAGGTCATCCCATACAAATGTTCAATCTAGCAAAAAAGGATTTTTATTTACTGGTTGGTCCAAAATTGTCTAATTTGCAGCTAACTGGATGCAAACATTATCCTAAACTCCTAGCCAATCATAATGCTGACTGTCTGATGCCGTTAGCAGTAATTAGACCGAACAATGATATGTCATCTGTTAACTCACCTTCTGCTTTCGTCGTCGCTCATTTTGTAAAAGAGGTGTTACACTTTCAAAAGACTGCAAAGAAGTAGAGAGGAAACAGTGGTGAGTGCAAAAATATTATTCCAATTGACAAATTTTATCCGTGGCGATATATACGAACCAACCTACCTGGACAGAGGTGTACAGGTAGCAGGCAGCACCTTAAGTGTTGGGTGTACACGAGGGAGAGAGGAAGCCAGTGTTGATGGTGTCGAATGCGCCCTCTTCACGTCTCCCATTGGTCGGCTGCTTTATCGATCGGTGTTTGCCGTGCGTGCTGCCTGACGTCTGTTCATTGGCGAGGCGGATCGATGGATTTTTGCTGGTACGCGCGCACGCGGGTTTGCACGTACGCAGAAGTGCATTACATTCCATGGGGATTCGCATAAACGGTATTTTGGACGTTCAAGCAGGGGTGATTTTGGACGGTGTGCGCGCAGTTGGCGAACGCCATACCCTGCGCATCCATCTATAAATGTGCGCTAGACGTCATTGTAATCGAGGTGGCGGTAAAATGTTGGCTCTGAAACCGATACAATGTGTAGCTTGATTTCTAGAATTTTCGGCTCAATTTCGGTGGTTTTGATCAACCGTTGTCATCATTTTCCTAATTAACTTGGTTGCCAAAATGTTTTTGAGGATGTTGTTGCAATGTTTGGTTAAATTTTGTCCCTCCGGAAAAGAATTCGCCATCACGCACAAATTAGTGCAAAATTAGCCTCCGGCACTATGGATATTTTGCGTTTTAATTGTCAAATTGGTAATTTTTTAAAATTTTTTACGAATGTCGCTTCTGCGCACAGCTAATTCAAGTTAACCCCTCACATTATTAAATCTGTTGCAGACAACAGACTGAAGCAGTGTCATGTCTGGTTATTAATTGCCCGATTTTACTCACATAAATTTAGAGTTTTGGAGAAATTAACCAATCAAACAACTAAAACAGAAGGTTACGTCTTCCTGCCATTTTGAACGGAGACTGAACTCACACATAAATGTTTATCGTTCAACTCATTGTTTTTTCGGTTTTAACCAAACTCCTGCAATCAAATCAGCCAATAGGATCGCGAGACCGATTTAATGTTATCAAACATGATAGGCGGACGGGGCATCTGCTGGCTGATTGGTTTGTTTCAGTTACTCGCTCTTAATATTTTTCATACCTCATTTTTTTTAAAACTTGTAATTATTATAAAGTGTTTTAATGGAAATCACTTTTTTTACTTTTAATTCCGTCAAATATTCAGCATATTTTTTGTTTCTTTCCAGTTATCAAATGCTTGTGCCGTTGTTTAAATCTGTGTCATCGCTGTTTCCATGTACCTGACAGGCAGACAGACTTGTAGCTCCAGCCAAGTAGTCGAGATTTTAGCCAAATATGTGCAACAGGTAGCCGATTTCGGACACACTTAGCCACCCTGCCATAAATTTACGGTCAGGTCAAATCCGCCCGATCGATAGATTGGGAGGCGGGTTTTCCACGGACAACACGGCCGTGCGCGAGCGGCAGATGGATATTGGCCGGATTATCTGTAATGATTTGCGTGGTGAATTCAGTCAAGTTTGTTCGCTGACAGCGTCCTCTCGGGGTCACCAAATGAAGCGGTGACATGCGCTATGTACCAATCCTGGTAGTTTACCGGCCATAGCAACTCAGTAATAAATTGAATACAGCGGATATGATGCAGAAAATCAATAATCAGCGCAAAACGACCATCCTGGATTCGGCTAAATCGATTGCTTGTTTGTTTAAATTAACCCATGCTGCTGGTAGATCGTGATTGGTCAGTTTCACTCATTAAATCTTAGCCTAGCTAATATGCGTTTTGGATTTTAAAAACTTGGGTTAAGATAATAGCTAGATGTCAAATCTTCAAAAGACTTAGCTACTCTTTGAAGTAAAGTTTAAAGTTTCTATAAAAAGGCGTTTTAGATTAGATGCTGCGGAGAATGCCTGTGGACAATTTTTGTGCGCGGCCCAGATGAAAAGGGTCTATTTTTAGATGACAAATTACAACGGTCCTATAACCAGTGTTTAAAATGAAATACAGATGAGCTAGCTCATCTGTTTACTTCCAAACTCAATTCATATAACTGCACGACAGCAAATTTACACCGATCTGGTTTGTCAAATCAAGCGTTTCTAAAATCATACACTTATGCTATTGGTAACTGTCTAACTCGCTCACTCAAGGTGTTAAGGGCCCTAATTTACCAATCGACTGCTGCGAGACATTGAGCCAATATTAAAAAAAGCAAATTTAGTTTAAATTTTAGCACTCTTT